ATTCACCCCTTGACCCAATCAGGATCAATCAGGGGCTTCTCTCTCATGTGTCTCACTGCTATAAATCAATATTGGCCATTAACTTCACTCCAACGCAATGGGGTCGGGGTCGTTGCCTGGCACTTTCCAACATTTTTCGAACTTTTCCCTTGTCCCACCCACTTGTCTCTCATAAACAAGGCAATACATTTTATGACACGGTCATGTTAAAACAAACATCTCGTACAGTACAATAAAAGAAGTTGAAATGTAAAACATCTTCCAGAAGCCTTCCTACCGTTTTTTGCTTCTCTGAAACAAGCTTAACTGTTCTGTATCCTGACACCCACACACACTTTGCTAATTTTTTAAATATTAAAACGTATTTTATAATTATTACAATTTTTTATAAAGGACATCTGGGGCTCCTTCTGGCAGAGGGGCCAGGGGGCAAATGTACCTTTTGCCCCCTTATAGATCTGGAACTGCTGATGCATCACCTTTTATTAAAATATATTTTTAAAAGTATTTAATAAAAGGTAACATGAGAGCTTCCTCTCTTTTTTGATTGACCGTGATTGAGAGCATTTTCACTAACTGGAAGAGGGAGGAATCCAGATACAACTAGATTGATCGTTAAAATGTGTATTTACCCATATACATATTTTCAGCAAACCTTTGCATAAAAACAGGGATTTTTGGTTTACAAAGCAGGTGGGGAAGGATCTGTCATTTAGCAGGAAATAAACTGTCCTTTTTGTCACTTTTTCTTTAGTACATTCTACAGGTATGACTTTGCAAATGCAGGCTTAAGGCATCACCCCAAGCATGTTGTTTAAAGAAATTGTGTATTTTTAATCTTGCCCCTTAAGCATTATTAAAAGACCAATTTCCTGCTGAACATTATTTTTTAAGTTTTTTTACATTTTTTTGCATTGGTTTATGTAACCCAAGGTAGTTCCCTGATCCTCGTGCCCTTAACTAAAGGTTCTCAAATTGTCCTTAAAAAAGCCAGAATACATTAACAAGGTTCATCTTTCATAAACATCAGTAGGGTTTGAACATTATGTTCAGATTTTTGAGAATTCCAAGCTAGGTTCACGAATCTGACAACAAACTGAACCCACCCAGTTCACTCATCAGTACTCACCAATCTCCTTAGAGGAACTGACAAAAGGTTCTGCGTCACATAATTTGACTGGCTAGACTATACTACTACAGAGGAATACAGACTATATTGGAACTCGTGAGGAGTCTAAAAAATTTACTCTGCACAGACTTCTTGGACTTTTAGTGGTCACCTCCCAGTCTTCTGGCTACTTCTGCTCTCCCCACCCCTTTAATCTTTCCAACTAATTTTTCACCTTCTCTACTCCACTCTAGCTTCCCTACCCCCATTTCTCCATTTGCTTTCCCTTCTACCCCACACTTGTGCCCCTCCTTTCTCCACCTTATCTCCTCTTGTTCCCCCCCACTTTGTTTCCCTCATTTAAACCTTACCCCAATATTTTTGTAATCTAGGGAATTTCCAAGTTATATCTATAAAGAACCATTATATAGATTACATTTGAGACACAGAGAATTAAGTCTGAGTTTTGCCTTAGAGCTTTATTACACTTGCAGTTGGGGCGGGTAAAAATAGATGGTTGAGCTGCGGGTTTACTGTCCTTTGACCGCTCATCTTAAAATAACACAGCGGCCAGATGAAATTGTACACATTGCCACAGCCACACGAAAAATTATAATAACTGTTAGGCATGGTGGGTACTACCACTGCAGAATGTGGAGGGAGTATTGTCCAGAAAACTGGCATCAACAATAGTATTCTGGCTGGCTGTGGGGAAGAGGTTGTAAATCAGATGCTAGATGTCAGCAAATAAATTGGCTGGGAGAAGGGAGGGAGGCTTCCAAAAGATCAGAGAGAGAGGCAGTGTGACAGGCAGAGATGGATGGAAGTGTGTGAGGATGAAAGGGAGCAGGAGGGGACAGTGGCTGAGGTGGAGAGGAGGATGCCAGGGAGGGAGGGAGTGATGAAGACAGCTTAAGGGATAATGGACCTCACCTGTAATAAAAGAGACGGCCACAGTGAAGGAAACTGGGAGCAGAAAACCACAAGGCCCCCCCCCCCCCCCCCCCCCGGCACAGAGAGGAGGAGCAGCCTGAAGGGAGGAAGGAGGAGGAGGAGGGTAGAAGCAGCTTGCAGGCTGCCAGTGCTCGACCTTGGCTGATATTGGAACTGCACCCTGCACACTGTACTAGCGGCTGGTCTGAAACTGTACCCACTGTTCCTATAAGGGATGATTGGCAACTCTCCTCTGGGGGGGTTCAGACCCCCCTGACCCCTCCCTTATCTACACCCCTGCTTGAGGTTAGGGACTGATGTGAATGTATAATATATGTAAAGCACTGTGTAAATTGATGGTGCTTGAACTGGAGCACTCAGAATCTGGTGCAGCTGTACATGGTAGTCAATCAACTTCTAACTTCAGCTTGTTCAATTAAGCTTTGCCAATAAAGCCTGGAAGCTGATTGGTTTGTATGCAGAGCTGCACCAAATTCTGCACTGCACAGTTTTAGTAAAAAAACCCCAAAGTGTTTTTGTTTTTTCTTTATTTTTTTCTTGGTTGAACTTGATATATGTCTTTTTTCTAAATGATAAGTTCACCTTTTGTAATATGTTACACATGTATTCAGGGTGTAACATTTCACATGTTAGTGTTGCAGCAGCCCCCGCACCCCCGATCCCTCGTTGTGACAGCTAGCGGGGGATCTTCTTCTCTCTGCACCTGCTGTCACAATTCGAAAAAGAGAAAATATCCAGTGAGTGGCAGTTGTGCGGACGAAAATGCCTTGTTGATGTCAGAAGAGAATGGGCAGACTGGTTTGAGATGATAGACTGGCAACAGTAACTCATATCAATATGGACCAAAATCTTCTCTCTGCACCTGCTGTCACAATTTAAAAAAAAAACATGGCCATGTGGGCCTCCGCCCTCCCAGGCTCCATCATTCATTCACAGAGTTCTGTGAATGGGGAGAACTACAAGTACTGATAGCCTTTGCGGCTGATGGCTTGTAGTTCTTAATGAACTACCAGAAAGCTGATGAGCACTCAAGGGTAGTTCATTGATTCTTTCTGTCATTCAGTAATTTCCTGCCTGTATGAGGTGTGGGCAGACAGATACACTGACAGTCTGCAGGAGCCTCGCATTGCATCAGTGCAATGCTTTGCAGGTTCCTAATAAAAAAAATAATACATGAACATTTTTTGATCTGTAAAAACATGTGCATTTTTTTTTCAAAGGTGAACTGTAAACCTGACCTACAATGTAGCTGAGATCCTACAGGGATTCTATTTTCTTCATATACACCCACCGGCCACTTTATTAGGTACACCCGTTCAACTGCTTGGTAACACAAATTGCTGATCAGTCAATCACATCGCAGCAACTTACAGCATTTAGGCATCTAGACGTGGTGAAGACAACTTGCTGAAGTTCAAACTGTGCATCAGACTGGGGAAAAAAGGGGATTTAAGTGACTTTGAACATGGCATGATTGTTGGTGCCAGACAGGCTGGTCTTAGTATTTCAAAAACTGCTGATCCACTGGGATTTTCACGTACAACCATCTCTAGGGTTTACAGAGAATGGTCCGAAAAAGAGAAAATATCCAGTGAGTGGCAGCTGTGCGGACGAAAATGCCTTGTTGATGTCAGAGGAGAATGGGCAGACTGGTTTGAGGTGATAGAAAGGCAACAGTAACTCATATCAATATGGACCAAAATCTGTGAGGAATGTTTCCAGCAACCTGTTGAATCTATGCTACGAAGAATTAAGGCAGTTCTGAAGGCAAAAGGGGGGTCCAACCCAGTACTAGCAAGGAGTACCTAAAAAAGTGGCCGGTGAGTGTAGTCAGCACATGGTTATCATGGAGGGGACTTTGTGAAAAAAGACCCTTGTTGGTTTGTAAAAAAATTCTTCTGGAAATACATATGTCATTGTTTGGAATTAAAGCACAACTGCTTTTATTGTTGATGTGGACATGCAGCTCAAGTGTCCAGCAGTTGGATCCTTCAGCTGTGCCCACAACTATTAGTGAACTCATCGCTTACAGTTGGCCAGCACATGATGATATGTCATTTTAAAAGAAATCTGTCATGAGGGCAACATGAGGGCTGCTATTGCAGACTTAAAATACTGTTTGCTTTGCCGTTATTTTTATCTGTTGGATTTAATATTTTCACAGTCTCCATCCTTGAACAATCATGCAGATATAGGCTTCTAACTTACTTCCAATTTTTCTGATTCGTTTACATACCCCGGGTCAGAAAGTGGGAAGAGAGTGGATTGGCATAACAGGCAGGAAACTAGCTTGTTCAGAAGGAAGTGAGAAACAGCAGCTACTTTATACTGTACTGTATTACTGCTGAGTCTGACATAGTGCCAGTAAAGGGGTATTAACCACTTGCCCTCAAGAGGATTTACCCCCCCCCCCTCCTGACCAGGCCAGGCACTGTGTTACTGTAACCACTAGCCTACAGGGCACTTTATACCCTCTTCCTGCCCAGGCCAATTTCCAGCTTTCAGCGCTGTTGCACTTTGAATGACAATTGAGCGGTCATGCAACACTGTACCCATATGAAATTTTTATCATTTTTTTGTGACAGATAGAGCTTTATTTTGGTGGTATTTAATCACCTCTGGGATGTTTATTTTGTCTTAAACAAACCAAAAACCACTGAAAATTTTGAAAAAAAAAAAACGTTTTTTTTCTTAGTATTTGTTATAAAAATTTTGTAAATAAGTGATTTTTCTCCTTCACTGATGTGCGCTAATGAGGCTGCAGTGATAGGCACTGATAGGCTGCACTGATGGACACTGATAGGTGGCACTGATGGCCACTGATGAGGAGGCACTGGTAGCTGGCACTGATGAGCATTGACAGGCATCACTGATGGGCACTGAAAGGCAGCACTCATATATGGCACTGATAGGCGGCGCTGACTGGCACTGTTATGTGGCAATGACTGGCACTGTTAGGCGGCACTGATAGGCAGCACTGACGGGCACTGATAAGTGGCACTGATGCACACTGATAGGCGGCAATGATTGGCACTGATAAGCGGCACTGACTTTCACTGATATGTGGAACTGATTGGCAGCACTGATAGGTGGCTGTGAATGTCATTGATAGGTGGCACTGACTGGCACTGATGGGTGACACTGAAAGGCAGCTCAGATGGGCACTGATATGTGGCATTGATGTGGCACTGATGGGAACTGTCAGGTGGCATTGATGAGCACTGAGAGCTGGCACTGATGGACACTGACAGGTGGCGCTGCTGGGGCTACACAGATCATCAGGGCACACTGATCATCAGGGCTCTGATGATCTGTGTACATGTCTCCTCCGAGGAATGTCGATTATCGGCTCTCCTCTCCAGCTGTCAGTGTGACCGCTCGTGAGGAGAGAAATACAGATAACCGGCATTTCCCTGTTTACATGTGATCAGCTGTGATTGGACACAGCTGATCACATGACCGAGCCAACATCAGGCACATGCTACAGGACCAGTTATGGGAGAGGGAATACTGTAGATTTGTGTAAGATTGTAAGCTCTTGTGCTGCACCGCAGGCTAGCCCATACCATACACCCATACACTGATTCCTGCTCTTTTAGGGTAATAACAGGTAAGGTGTGGCAGCTTAGTTGTGCCCGCCAGTAGGTAAATTACTTCTACCTTCATCCATCAGAATGGCGCTGTGTGTGCAGCACAAGGGTCTCAGCCTTTGGGCTGGGTGTATGTAAATTTTATTGTATGTTTCCAGCATTTGTGGTTGTGTTTATTTGCCACATCTAAGTAAAATTCTGTTGTGGCAAAAGCTGGTGTTGGGGTTGCTTTCCTCGTTCGTGATTTCACTGCATCCTGGGGAGCCCACCCCGGTACACGGTCTACAGGGGCACTGCTCAAGGGGGAGGAGCCAGAATTGCCAGCGGGGGACCCAAGAAAAGGAGGATCAGGGCTGTTCTGTGCAAAACCACTGCACAGAGCAGGTAAGTATGACATGTTTGTTAATTAAAGAAAAAAAAAGAAAATGAGGCTTTAGTATCACTTTAACCACTTCCCCACCACCCTATAGTAGAACTACTGCTACTATATATACTTTATTTGCATTTATTGTTAGGGGGTGCAACACAGTACCACGCTTTCATTGGCGGATACGGATGTCAATTACTGGGTCCCCTCTGGCGATTGCCCGCCAGCATCCAGCAATCGCAGTGTGGAACTCACAGGGCAGAGACTTTTTTGTAAACTACTACACAGGTCTCTCTCCTGCCAGCAAGGACATGCTGCTATGTATTTCTGTGCACTGCAGAGAAATACACAGCAGCATGTCTCCCTAGTAAAACACACAGCACATCATGTCAAACACACACAGAATACAGCCCTTCGATCGCCCCTCATGTTAACACCTTCCTGCCCAGTGTCATTCGTACAGTGTCAGTGCTTTTTATTAGCACTGGTCACTGTATTAGTGTCATTGGGATGTCAGTGACACCAAGTCAGTTCCCCCCCCAGTGTAAGAATACCCACTGCAGTCCCGCTATAAGTCGCTGATCGCTGCCATTACTAGTTTACAAAAAATAAAAATCCCAATATATATACCGCCATTTGTAGACGCTATAACTTTAATGAAAAACAATTCATTTACATGTATTGAGATTTTTTTTTAGCAAAGACGTAGCAGAATATATATTGGCCTATATTTATGAAGAAATTAGAATTTTTTTATTTTTTTACTGGATGTTTTATAGTAAAAATTCAGAAATATTGTGGGTTTTTTTTCAAAATTGTCGGTCTTTTTTTGTTTATAGCACAGAAAATAAAGACGCAGAGGTGATCAAATACCACCGAAAGAAAGCTCTATTTGTGGGGAAAAAGGACATAAATTTCATTTATGTACAGTGTTGCATGACCGCACAATTGTAAATTAAGGTAATGCAGAACTGTATCACAAAAAATGGCCTGGTCAGGAAGGGGCGTAAAACCTCTGGAGGACAAGTTCTTAATATTCATAAGATGCAATATGTACATTTTTGTCTTGGGGTTTATTACTGCTTTAAGAAGGAAAGTATTCCATTAGGAATGACAGAGGTACAGATATTTCTTCCCAGGATCATCTGACATGAAGCAAAGCCAGTAAAGGGATCAATTCTCTTTTTTTACGAAGAAAAAGGAACCCTTTCTGATCACTTGAAAAGATTTACCTAATGCTTATAATGGCTCAGAAGGGAATCCACGTATGCCACATTCTGGCAAAAAATGCTTGAATCTGGCTTTTGGCTTGTATATAATATATATGGAATGCAGGGCAGTGTAAGAAATCAAATGCTACATTTTAAGAGCCATTTGTATGCACTCTATTTAAATATAAATAGCAATTACAATGTCAAGACTTGTATGTGATAGGTACTTCTGTAATTCAAAAGCTTTCACTGCCACAATAGCAAACTCATATTAAGACTTGCAGAAAAAAGCTCCCACAGTTACTCTTTCCAGCACTTCTGCATATTTTAAGGGCATTTCATGGGCTCTGCTCCCATGATATATTCTCCATGGGAAGTAATATACATGGAAATAATAACAGTATTGGACTTTTCATTCGATTTATTTTAAACCTCTGACTTTACCACACTGCATACTAATCAGCCAATTCTATTTGTTTTCTGGTGCTGTGCTTGTTCTTATTGTATTGATGTTGTAAAACAAAAGCAAAAGTGTGATGTATGCTTTATGTATTTACAGCTGGCTTCTGCACACCATTGCACTGTATGCAGAGTAACCATGAAGTGCTGAAAGGGTTAAAGCACAGTTTGCGTTTATTTACCTGGTGCACCTAATAGAACATAATACATGCTGTCCATTAGGACAGGGCTTGAAATTTCCACTTGCCTGCTCGCCAAAGGCGAGTGGAAATTATTGTGGGGGCAGTGTGTTCCCCAGGGCCGTCTTGCTGAGCAGGCTCCGAGCTCAGGCCGGATCTGTCATTGGCACTGGGAACCGTCAGACTGCTCAATAGCTGAGCGCAGTGAAAGCAAAGCAAGGAGTGTGTGCTGTGCTCTCTGCCTCCCCCTAGAGTGCAGTACCCGGATCTGTGAGTGAACAACGAAGTACTGCAACGTTTAGGGGGGGAGGGGGTGGTGGTGTGTGTTTGTGTGTGTCTGTGTATGCATGTACAATTGTACATGTGTGTATCTGTACATGTGTCTGCGTGTATGTACATTTTATGTGTGTGTACATGTGTCTGTGTGTGTGTGCATGTACATGTGTCTGTGTGTTTGTGTGTATGTACGTACATGTGTCTGTGTGTACATGTGTCTGTGTGTATGTACATGTGTCTGTGCGTGTGTATTTCTGTGTATGTACATGTATCTGTGTGTATGCGTGTCTGTACATGTATGTGTGTGTATACATGTGTCTGTATGTGTGTGTGTACATGTGTCTCTGTCCGTATGTGTACATGTTTCTGTGTGTGTGTACATGTCTGTGTACAGGTGTCTCTGTTTGTGTGTGTTTGTTGGTGGCGAGTAACTCTAAGGCCTGGCTAGTAGCTCAGGACTTGAAATTTTAAGCCCTACATTAGGAAATTATACATTTCACTAAGTTAAAAACTTGTGGGGTTAAAATAGGCAGATACTTTGCTATTCTGGAGCAGGTATATTCACTTGCGGGGAGTGCATGCTGTCATGTTTCACATGACTGTCATATGCCTTTAAGTGTTCTTTGTATTTTGTCTCTGCTCCTCCCTTTCCTCTGGTTTTAGTTCTTGCTGTATACATAGCCCACCCCTTTTCCCATTTCAGCTTCAAGCCTCATGTCATGAAACAGATCACGTTATGATCTTTTGACCTAGCCGAAGTTCATTGTTGTAAGATTCTCTCAGTTTATGGAATAAACGTCACAAGATCTGCAAGGTGTCATCTGATCGAGTCACTGCCTGTGTTACTCAACAAAGATTATCGCTATCTCATCACAACAGTAAGTTACAGAGAACGCACTTTCAATGCTTAGATTGGAGAGACAGAACACATGCTGTGAATTTTTGTGATTACTTTCACTGAGTAGTAGCACTGATGTGTAACAGCGTATACACAGAGATGGACACGGTTCAACCATTTTGGCTTCAACCTCCATCTTGACAAAGGGATTAACCATCCTGACAAATATATTTCTCCCTCATTCTTCCCCCCTCCCTCCTTAGAGAGGCCCAGCGACATTTGTCCAGTATGTTTGTGAGTTGGGAATGTCACAGGAGGGTCATAGGAGCTATAAAGCCCCCCAAGGGAGCCGGGGCCTCCCTGTCCAAAGAACCTACAAATTGTCACCTCGTAAGAGATAAGGCAAGCTTTCCCAGGAGTTGAAAGAGATTCAAACCTAATAAACCTAACTCAGCATAGGTGACAGAATCAGATAAACACTTTTCAAAATCCATTTCTCCCCTATGTCTTATATCGTGGAATATGAGAGACTTACATAAAAACCGGACCTATCGTCAGATTGGCCATGAGAAGGCGAACAGTTTGATAGGTCACTGTCAGGGCAGGGTCACGCACTGACTGACGACAACCACCACCCACAGACCGGAGTCCCTCAGGGCGCGGAGTCTAAGTCCCAGGCTGCTCTTCACCAGGGCCGCTGATGGTGGGGATGGACTTGACGCAGCCAGGAACCAGGTCGCTGCCCCCGAGACACACCAGCTGCGGTAGTGGCCGCCGCCAATGGCGTTTAGCTGGTAGGGACCAGATAGACAAAGAGTAGTCGGGCAGGCCAGGTCGATAACCACGGGACAAACGGTACAGAACGGTAGACAAGAATAACAGGTCACAGCAACGGAAGGTCAGATCAATGGAAAACACAGAGAATGGTCAGTCAAAAGCCGAGTCAGATTCCAGGAGAGCCACGAGAGTATAAACAGAGCTATAGTCACACTAACACACAAGACACGAATGCAAAGGGCACGTGCGGACAACAGGCTTATATGTGATCAACCACACCCCTCTGGGGGATGGACCGCAGAGGCCTGAAGGCATAAAAGACTCCCACCATGCTCTGCAGAAATCCAAGATGGATGCCAGCACATGGAGCAGCATAACCTCTGGGAAAAGGTAGGACCTTGACAGTCACTCACATTGTCTCGAATACATAGGAAAACAGAAAAGTAGATCTCGTGAACCGTACAATGTATAGTTCATAATTCATATCTAATCAATCCTCAGACGTGTCTGCATAATAATCTACCCGCGGGTGGAATGTCACTTGTGCAGCTGGAAAGTTATGGGCCAAAATATGAGTTACGGGAGATTTTGGCTCTAGTTGAGGTATCCACCCATACCTCCACCCCCCAAGCGGGGTATTGGTCCTTGACTTCAGAGACACCCCCTGCTGGGGACTAAAAAATAGGCTTTCAGGCCTAAGAGTCTAAGTTGAAGACGTCTCCCATTTTAACATCAGTACCACCTGGGGAGACCCATGCCCATTTG